CGGCCGAGGAGCGGCATGAGCCCTTTGTGTAGTTTCCTGATGCAGAACTTGAGCTTGAAAGCATTTGAGTGTTTTTACACGGGACAAGTTTGATAACTGTGTTTTCAGACTGAAGTCCTCCTACATAGTGTCATTTGTATGATTGGAATGGATCATGGACTGTGAATAAATATACCCTTCTGAGAAACAGCGTCAGACATCGAAGGATGGCACTGCCTGTTACAAACTGACAGGTGTAGTGTGTGAGACTGAAGGAAAGGTTTTTAGGTTTTTTTCTGGGGAACATTGTAAATAATCTTTTTACTACTTAAAGTACATTTGGTGGATACTGGAAAGTTATAACATGAAGGGTAGTTTTTCATTATTTAAATAAAAAAGGGTAGTGAGCAAATTTGAAAACACAGGAAAAATTTCGTGCCTGGTTATAAACTAAATAAACTGCCATCTTTCCAAGACATTGATCTTTTGAAACCAAAGTAAGGAGTGTGAGGCGGTGAAAGGTAATGTTCTGTATCAGATTTCTCAGATAAAACTGCAGTATTTTATTTGGCAACTCAGGCTTGTACCTCCAAAAATGTGGTGGTGTTTCACTGAATTTAGATTGGAAGGGTGATATGGAATTCCTGGTACTTATTTCTCAAATAGATTGCTAATTTTGAAATCCACTCAGTTTTCTAAAAATACTATACTTGCTGTGGTATTGAGACTTGTGAAACCTTCCAGGCTTCTGATAAAAGCAAGCAACAGTATGAAACCAAATGCAAACAGGTCATGTATAATGTTCTATGCAGGAATAATGATAAATTCCCTTCTAGCTCTATTGTAAATTGTTGTACAGATGTCACATTTTCAGTTAAATTTCAGCAACTTATCCCTGTACAAATGTTTAAAGTATGGCTTTTTCTAATTGGATATTGTATTTTTTTTAAGTCTCCCTCAAGGCGCTTTTAATTGCTGCTAATGATGTTGCTTTTCCTTTTGCAAAAGAATCAGATGACCTCCTTAAGGTGCAAGTCAACTGTACATGTCAGAGAGATTGGGAGTCAGCAATTTGTGAACAATCAAGGCATGTAAAGCAGGTCTGTGTTGGCAATATACAGTGCAGTTCTTTGAGTCAGTTTGTTGCGCTCTCAACCTGCAGAGCACATCGATGCTAGATGTAGGAGTTGCTCATGGTTATTCTCTATTTCTGGAAGTTCCTATCAACAAGGAGATGTTTCTTGTGGCTTGTACAGATATTTTAAAATGTGAAACATTTTCTAACTGCCTTGTATGGTAGAAACTTATTTTTCAGAATAGTGTCTCTCTCCTGTTCACTATTCTTTTTACTATCCCATTCTTGATGCTGAATACCTATATGTAATTTTGTCCATGTTGCAGAAAGAGGAGGCTGTATTACCACAGGTTTTCATTTAGTATTGTACAGTTAAAACTGTTGCTCTTGTTTCTGATGTTGCAAGCCATTTTGTTTTCATTGTATATAAAGAAATGTTAACTGTCTCTTTAAGATGCTGCTGAAATTGTAGAGAATGTAGCCAAAACAGTAATAAACAATGGCAGTTGAAATTTCAAGGTTTTCATTGTGTGTCTTTACAAGGGCAAATCACTTAACCATATCACTGAGCTATGCGTAACAGTTTAAGGTAAACTCTCTTCAATTACAAACTGAAGGCTAATAATAACAGCAATTGGGTAACACTGAAGGAGAAAGGGGAGGATTCCATGAAACTTAAAACATCTGTTGCAATGAAGTAACCAAAACTTAGCTTCACTGACTGGACCTCACAGTAACAGCTCTTAAGTGTTTCAGAGGTCCTGCTGTGATTCGGCAGTGCAGGGTCCTGGCTGGGCAGGGCTGGTGGTGCCCACACCGTGTGGCAGAGGGGCACAGTGAGGGACAGTGATGGGTGGAAGGAGCTGCCAAGCAGGGGAGAAGCATCTCTGGGTCTTGTGTTTCTGTTCAAAGAGCCCTGAGGACTTGCTGATCTTCTCCAGAATTGGGATGTTGCACTGGGAAGGGAGACTGGAGAGCCTGACCTGGTGGGCAGTGTCAGGACAGGGACGGCCTCAAGATTTGGAGGCACTGTGGTTAGAGAGTGTCCTGATTTCGGTGTCTAAAACATTTCAGGCTCACAATTGCTATTGTATTTTTTTTAATACTTCTTCTACATACCAGCTGGTGTCAGAGGGAGGATGCTGGTTTCAGAGGTGAGGAGTGCCACAGTCACTGTGTCTGCACAGGGCACTGTCATCCCAGCAGGATTCGGGGGATAAGTACCTCTCCTGAGGCCTGAAGCCTACCCAGCTGCAGGCAGCCACGGACTGTCGAAGGTAAGACTGCAATAAGCCAGCAATTTCATGCCTCTCTGACCACATATTGGTGAGACAAATGTCACCAGCCTAGGGGCCTGGCATTACACACCTGCCACCCAAGGCCAGTGTGTTTCCAAGTGCTTTCCACAAACAAAATGGGTTTTGCTTGGTCCAAAATGTTTACTAGGCAAGGATCCCTGAAAAGCTCTCTTCCAAGTTTGACTCAAGTTTACTTATCTCCTGACAAATTTGTCCACCTTATTGTAAAGATGCCCATCAGTGGAGGCCACATAACTGATCCAAGCAATCTACTCCAGTTTTAGCTAGTGTCCTCACTTGCTTGCTGCTCTTCAAGCCTATCATTTCCAATCCTGTGCACTGTGGCATGAAGCAAAGTACCTGCCATGTGTGGTACATGAGCCTTGCTTTCTGTACAGCCACCACAGACTTAATTTTGAACTTCATGAGTATCCATTGGAGTTAAGATTATTACCCTCTGAACAAGTGAGGTTTGTGCATTATGTATTTTGGTTATTCAGCTCCTACCAGTGAAATTCTTGCTGTTGGAGAAATCAGGTTTTTTTATTTTGCTCTAAGTAATCAAGTCGCCTTGCAATCTTTTCATTCTTGCTTTCCCTAGGAATCTCATTTTGTATCTAGTGTCTTGAGAGCTAAACATGTTTGAATTTCAGAATCCCCTTGTGCAAATCTGTGGGTATCTTCTTGTCTGCATCTTTAAAACACACAGTGACTTTCTCTTTGAGAAGTGAAGGAGCTCAAAACCACACTTGCTCTATCCTCAGAGGATGTGCTGCCACACGACCAGCAGGTCAGCCTAGCAAAGTGAAGTGTTTTCTTGCTCTTGTGTAGAAGCTATTCCGTGGTATTCAGCAGAGCACAACTCTGTAGCCCAATGAGACAAGTGTTTTCCAGGAAGAGAACGCCATGGCCTCAGCCCCCAGCCTGTTACTGTGTCTGTAGGTTGTACTTTCAGTGTGAAAAACAAGCAGTCCCTGGACATCACCTTGTGTTTGTGTTTTTGGGAAACCTGTTCATGCACATGCAGGATTTGAATCTGGTTTGCAGGTGACTGGAGTTATGGCTTGCTGTTATTTTTTGATGCATGGAATGTTGTGCAATTGTCCCCTTCTCCAAGACTGGAAGGACAGTCCTTAGTGGAGTCATTGTCTTCAGTGAGGTCTGGGAGCAGCTATAGCTCAAAGAGTCATAAGCACTATCCAGTGCTTCAGTGCTTAGATGTGCCAGTCAGTCGCTCATTGAATCAATATCCTACTTTATTTCTGATATTGAAATACTGATTTATAGTTGAGGACAGGAGGAGTCTTCATGCACTCTCAAACCATCTTCTGAATATTACTCAGTAACAGAGAACTATGATAGTTTAAAATATCAGTGGCATGTGGCTTTATGGAAGGCAGTGTGTTATGTTAAATCCATTGGCTGTATGTGCAAGCACAGGGTGGGGTTTTGTAGTGATTCTAGATGAAGGGATAAAAGTGCCACATGCATCTACAAGTCAATGCCTTTTACATAATAGATGCAAAAATGGTATTTCAGATCGTAGCACTCCTAGGTAGGATCTGGCAATATATGTCTCCTATTGTCTAAATTGCTTTTAACCTAAATGTATGTATTATCTGCACAGCTTTCACTGCAAGGGAATAACTGGAACTGGGGCTGGTAGAGAAAAAGACACTGATCCTTAAATATGCATCTGCCACCCCTCAGGCACTGGTCTTGCAGCTTCTAGGACAACTAGGCTGGTGCTGCATTCAGGAGTGCTCCACGTTGTCACTGTGCAGCCACAGGACATGAGACATGGGGAGGATGTATTCCTGAAATGTACAGTGGTTAACAACTGGATAGATGGCAAAGATTCCTGTAAGAATCAGTGTCATAGTGGAGTGATGTGTGCAGGGCCTTTAGAAACACTGGATACACAGGAATGTATGTGCAGCATGAACTCTTCCCTATTCATATCCCAGTAATGCTTCCAGAAAAGAGTTCTCAGAGCAAGACACGAACAAGGAGAGATGGTTTCTTTTGCCTTGTGTCCTAACCTGTCCTAACCTTGTGACTGTAGCACACCTGGAAGAAAAGCTGGAAAGGGAAACTGATTCCCCATTAGCACTGATGAGAGCTTTGCAGGACAGAGCACCAAGAACTGCTTTGCTTTGTGCATGTGCAAGCAGCTCCAGCAGATCTTTGCTTGCCTTCATTGGTAGAGCAGCAGTTTTCAGTAAAACCATGTAAAACATGTTCTCCATGCTTCCAGAATTCTACTATCTACTCCCTCTGCCTTCAGGCTGAGCACAGCAGAGGAGCAGGACCTGCCAAATGGTCACATACATGGGACTGACTTAGTGAGATGGTGCAGCTTCATTCACTCTCCTGGATTTGTCCCTCCAAAGAGCCACATGAAGAGTTATTGCACAGCTTTGTACATTTGTATAATGTAAAACTTTCTTCATGACAGAAATAATCACCCTAACTACTGCACAAATGGTTTGTTTCAGGCTTGCAGCTGTGGCTGTTGGCAGCTGGCAGAGCTCTCATCAGTGATTTGAGCACTGGAATACCTTTGCTGCATGCCCTGCTATTGCAAAGCCAGGTAAGTAACATTTTAGTTGATAA